AGACGGAACCAGGGAACTTCAAACTACAAGAAGAGCTCGTATGCCACTGGGACGCAATCCAGCGCTATCAGCAGTCGATATCATTGACGAGTATTTCTCATCACACTAGACCTAGTGGCTGCCAATAAAGAGTTCAAAACTGGGATGAAACAGCTGTTCAGTACTCCCTGGTTTCTAATGGTTCTATAACTGATATGGATCCGTAGTCAAACTCGTAAAAACACATTTAATCCCTACAAACGAACTCTTAAAAATCGAACATAATTATTATTTAATCAATAGGGTGTAACCAATTTCATGTGTGTCTAGTCCTTGCTTTTGGTGCCGAATGAATTCGTTCACTAACACAAGCGACTAGACACTTAATATTGGTTACACCCTAGTGAACAGTTAAAACTGAATCTAATTGCTACTTTTGTACGTATCATTAGTTAGCATGGTTAATAATTCACCTTTCTCAGGGAATTGAAAAAGTTCACTAGTACTATTAAAATGATCTGTTTTGTGTGAATTTATGTGGGTTATTTGTTTGTTTTGTTTTATTTTAAAGATATAAACATTCTCAATACTGTATGAGCCTCAGAAATTGAGATAACAGAGAATTTTTCAATCAGAAAAGTACAACCTTTCCATACAATATTGTGAGCACTTCAATAGTAAAAGTGATGGTTTGACTAGTTGTTCTGTGGTGACAGCAGGCTGCTAGCCACTTGGTAGACATTAATCTACGTCAATGTCTAAGTCACTAATATTGGCTGAGAGAAAATATGAACAAGGCTGATTCAACAACCAATCACAGCAAACTTAATGTGGGCAAATATGATTCGCAGATAGATGGCTCCACTTTTTCGAAGTTACACGAAACAACCAATCCGAAGCCTGCGTTTGTCTGCTTAACTTCCGAGAAACAACCAATCAGAAGACTGCGTTTGTCTACTTGCATAAACTATAATAAGGTACAGGAAATATATATAAATACGTGTTGATTTCCGTAATAAAATGATCTGTTGCCGGCCCTTGTCTTCTGTTGTTACAGTGCCACTTTAAAAAAAAGTTTTGGAAGTGTGACAAATGAATAAAAATACAATTTTCTTTTTCAGACATTGTTAGAAGACTGTCAAAACTTATTTTGTATATTTCATCAGCTGAACAAAGTCGTTTCCTTATTCGGTCTGCCTTGGGTTCTACTGGGAATTCATTACCAGGAGAGTACAGCATTTTGAGTGTGAGGACAAATACTAGCCAAAGACATTGGCTACTGGTAGCGCTATGTCGTGAATTGGTAGAAGAAGCTAGAACTCATTGCTTGATCATTGGGTCTACCGGCTCGCTCGCCTTGTAACTAGGAGGTTCTGGGTTTGACACCCGGTGGATGCATACTGATGAAGAGTCCTGAACAAGGATGAAACCACCGTCCAATACTCTCTGTAGATTTTCCAATGCTACTGTAACCGATGTCAGCTCATTATGAAATCCCGTAAACAGTCAATCAAATCCCTACAAACCAATACTTGAAAAATGCATCAGTTCAAGTTGCTATACTTCTAGATGAAATGCACAAAAAAAGTAGGCAGAAATAGAATGATGCCAGGTTATTTTGCGTATGAATATGTCTATAAAAGCTCAATGTATTTGTGGTGTTGAAGATGACTCAAAGTCCTATTGTGGTGGTGTGATACACAGAATGTGTGCCAACAGAATATTATTCTCACATATTCCCACAGTTCATTTCGGCATTAGCAACAGAACGTGATATATCTATTTGAACATTCTATTTGATGTTTGAGACAGAATACATTTCCCATGGTTATATACTGCATTAACAAAAGAATACTATCTACATTTGAACATTTTATTTCATGTCCTATGATGTAAACCGGAATCACACTTTCAGTGATTCGTTAAAGAATTTAAACTATATATTTATATATATTCTTCTATCAATGATATGATTATGAGCAATAGTTTGTGCTCGAAACCTCATTAGTCAATATAACTGTATAACACTGTGTGATTTATCAAAATAAAAAGACTAATGACATTTGTTGCTCCCCAGTTTATTCATTACAGTCTTTCAGGAAGTCAATCGCAACCACGAATGGCTTAGTGGAAACTTCTCTGACTTTAATATTGGGTGACGTGAGTTAGAATCTCAGAAGACACACAAGTTTCTTCAAGGTTACCGCTACCCCCTGCTGACAAGGGGCAATAAGGACGAAGAGCAGGTTCAAGGCTTCCTGCCGATAACCTCCAACCATCTAACATCAGGCTTAGTTACGTCTAAAGCACCATAGCTTGGAATCTGGCTTATACATGACACCACATCAGAAACCGTAACGGTTTTGAACAGACATGTCACTTTTCAACTGCTTTGAATTGCTGAATCTGTCTACAATTGAAGAGTAACGCCTAGAATACCTCGATAAGTAGGTAACTCCTTTACTTTAACTCATCGAAACTTATAGCACTTTCCTTCACGTAGCTTATTGTTTACGTCAATCTGCTGTCGTGTCAATTTTTGTTAATTTTGTTGTTATCATTGAGTTCTTTCATTTTGTTTGAATATCCTTTCATATATTTACCTAAACATTTCAATTTCTATTTGAATTTGCCTTTAAATTCTAGAAAATCTCTGTCTTAACAAAGTATAACATCTGTGTTTTGATCGTAAACGATTATTTTACCATGCAATCCAATTTTTAGTCGTCTTCATTTTCAACATTTTATTCTACTGATATAAAATCAATCGACTTAAATCATTTCTCATTGATTATTTATACATTTTATGATTCAGATTGTATGCGACTGACAAAAACCATGCGAAACATAACTAGCTCATTTTCTCCTGCAGAAGGTGGTTTTATGATATAATAAATAAAGTTTTTACTTATATGTTAGGTGCTATTATTAATCCCCTGGGTTCAGAGTGAACACACCGTAGTGTCGATGTGGACTGGAACATGCTTCCAAGTGAGTTCTTACAAAGTTTGAAGTTGTCCCTCTTTGGTAATTTCACAAGGTAACCCTTCTTTCAATCAATAGTTTCCTTTCCTTTTCCTAGCAGATGTCATACATTAGTGGCATCAGCACATACATTGAGATCTTTAAGTCGTTTAATGCGTTTCTGGAGGAATTCCGTTGTGGCCTTCTGTCTTCCTGACTTTCAGTAACTTAATAGACTTCGAGATATCTGTTTCTATTGGAAAACTAGTATCCGTTGGCAATTCTGTGACCATTGCTGGGGGCATTTCCTGACGATTTGTAGGTGGTCATTGATTCAAAGGTTTTTTGAAGTGATCAACCCAGAATTTATTATGCTTCTTCTTTTTGATAATTAAGATTCCTTCATTACTTTTCATTGGTTTCATTTGTGTTGATCTGTTCCCAGATAGCCACCTGGTTATCTTGTGAGGCCCCTCTTAGCTGAAGGCTGACCTGCTTCAGTTGACAGTGTGTCGTAGAACTGTATTTTTTCCTTGCTCATACTGTTCTTCAGTTCTTTATTCAGTGAACTGTGGATTGAATTCAGCTTCTTCTTACCAAATTAGTTTGTTTATTATATGTATCATACAGTGAAACAGCATTATTTACTGGATGAGGTTTCCAACAAAATTTATTGTTCATAATAATGCCATCAATTATAATCACACGACTTAGAAACTTGAGTTTTATAGTTTTGTTCTTATAGTTTTTTTCTGTCCTATTTGTCATAGGGGTATTTGACATTTTCCAGATATCTGGGACAGGTGTTGAATCATTCCTATTACACGTGTTTGTAGTTGATTTGATAAACAAAGCTTCTGTTATTAATCTCTGCCTCCACCAGGAGAAAGCATACAAACAAACTGAGGGAGTTGCCACGGGGTCACCAATATCCCCGATTGTGGCAGATATACTCATGGATAGGTGGGAAAACATAGTGATTGAAACGTTCAGACAAAACCAGCAATAAGGAATCTAAATCATCAGTAGTAATCCCATGCAAAGAAGGAACCCCAGAAACCTTACGCAGGCAGGAATAAAAGGGGCTGTCATTCAAACCCCCCACAAATTCAATTAGAAAAATGCTTTGTCGGTTGAAGGATCAATCCTGTGGAGCCTTTAAACCAAAACAATTTAGTTTATCTAATACCCTACCTGCAATGATGGTCAGGTCAAATACATAGGTCAAACTAGTAGAACAGGAGCAGTCAAACTAGTCGAGCATAAAAACCTAGCAAATTCTAGATTGGTTGACCCGAATAAGATAAGAAATCTAGAGAATAGTTCAACTATAGCATTGAACACGCAATTACACACAACCATACAATAGGATGGGATAAGATGACAGTCTTAAAATCTAATGTAAGAGTAGGGTGGAGGGAGATATTGATGACAGTGGAAGCTTTGTTTATCGAATCAACTGCAAACACGCGTAATAGGAATGATTCAACACCTGTCCACCCAGACATCTGGAAAATTCCCTATGACAAATAGGAGAGAAGAAAGAAAACTATAAAACTCAAGTTTCGAAGTCGTGTGATTATAATTGATGAAATGATTATGAACAATAAATTTTGTTCGAAACATTGTCATCCAGTAAATAATACTGTTTCACATTGTGTGTGCGATATATCTAATAAACAAACTAATATGGAATTACTTACTACTACAGTGCCCAAGCTTCTTCTTACTTAAGTCTCTTTAATTCTTCATTCATTTTACTTCATAATTTGATACACATGCAGATTAACTGCTGAATACTAGGCATGATTCAAATTGTTACAAAAAAAGAAACATGAATATTTTGGAAGTTATTTTATCAGGAAACCCAATGCATTTCATTCATCAGTATAACATCACACTAATCATATTACCCACATGATCAAATGTGATAATATAGTCGTCAGCTGATATTTTATTTATCGACCTCTAAGTTTAACGTGATCAATAAATGAAATAAATTCCTTTTTTTATATATATATACATACATAAAAATTATTCTTAGACTTATTTTTATTATGCTACATGAGAGTATATTTTCACCAGCAGAATGTATCTCTGTACTAGCTGCTATCAGTGATACAAGTAAACAACTTGAAGTGTTATACAATTCATGTTTAAATAAAACAATTTATTTTTCTAAAAACCTTTCATCTAATCTACATGAGCTTAATAATCTAACCAATAAAAATGTCTACAGTCTTCAAGAAGAACAAGAAGAAGAAAAAAGTAAACGAAGTTTTTTACAAGTAACTGAAAAGTTAATGAATTTGTTTAAATCACTTACTGATGAATTGAATGATTATGGGACTATAAATTGTTTAGAAAAATACTGTATTCAACAACAAGATGAATTAGATAAATTAGAAAATTTTGTTAACTCTGCTGAAGAAAATGAAAGATATTTAAATGAATTACAAAATGATTTACAAAAATTAGAAGTTTGTATGTGTAATAATACAGTAGAGTTTACAACAACCTTGACTTCATTAAAACATGAACTACAAGAATTGGAGGAAATTTCAAATATGATTGAACAATACAAAAAACATGATTATGATATGAGATTACAAAAAGAATTAGGCATTCAATCAGATGAAATTAAACAGTTAACTGATGAATTAGACAAGGTTAAATTGCAAACACAACAGCAGGCTAGAATATCAGAAGAAATTAATTCCTGGTTATATTGTAATATTGCAAGATTGGAAAATGTTGCCGGTTATGCAGCGATCACTTATCAATCAGAATATATGAATGAAAAAATTAATAATATTGTTAATGAATTAGAGCAGAATAAAGCTATGCATGCTGAATTGGAAAGACAACAATTAGAATATGAACAAATAATTACAGCTGATAAACGTGAAAAAGACGCAAAACGTATTCGTGATGAATATGCGCAGAAATTTCTTATGTCAGTTTTACAAATACAAGCATGGTGGCGTACTATGATTGAAATTCGTGGAATAAGGTTACGGAAACGTAAGGGGAAAAGAAAAAAGAAATAGTAGGCAGTTTAGTCGCATGATAAGAATCGGATTATTAACTATCTAACAGTGACTGGTTTTACAGAAGAAAAATAATAATAACAGTATTAGCTCGAATACTCTGAAGTTCTGTTTGATAAACTTTTAACAGTGATTTTTGCGACATATATAATAATAATAATAATAATCACTTTATTCCACAATAATAAAAATTTACAGCATGGAATTTTCATACCCGTGACAAAAAGATAATTGGTCATTGTTTATGATAGTTAGACTGTGTTAGAGATTGAAAATAGTCTGGATATGGTTCACGTGACGACAGGTTAGAAACTCAATGTTTTATCACTAGGAGACTATTCCACTTTCACCGCCATTCTCACTGACGTAATAATTTCCACGCTTACCTTATCAGTCCCTGTTTTGTGTTACAGCACTTTATGAAAAATTAAGGTCGTCATTTGCACATTTTGCCCTTACTGTGCTTCTTTTGTCTTCTTATTTGTTTCATTTGCATCTTTCATTTCTACTCTTCACCATTTATTCTAACCCTTCACTATTTAACATTCTTGCAGAAGAAATTACACACAATATACTGCCTCCAAATTCTTGTCATTAGCACCTGCCACACTTGTCCCCTGTCTAAAGCTTCCGAGTGGAGCTGCTCTGACTTTCTGAAAGCTATCGGGTAACATTCCTGTATCATCTCACAGTGTAGGGCATTTTTGTCTCGTCAAATCAAAGTTTTCTTAGCGTTCAATCCCAATTCATCATTCTCCTTGAGTAACATGGTTAGACCCGTATTTACCGCAGATAAGTTTACTTCCAGTGTGTTAGTAATCACCTGTATCACTGTGATTAGGATAGGATCCGAATTTTGACTGTGGGCAGGTCTTAATGATATTATTCAAATGCATGTACTCCGAATGCTGTATCAGTTAACTCAACTTCATCTTCCGGTTTTGATAAAAAGTCCACCGACAAATTCTGTTTCCGTTAAACGTATAGGCGCACCATCCACCTCGACAGTTTCCCACTGACCGAATAAATAAGATCATCATTCATCCGAATGTCTTTTTAGACTTTAAATCAGTTGTTTTCATTTTCTGGCGGTGTAAAAAGGAGCTGGCAGTGCTACAAAGTAGCAATATGGCTCCATATATGTTTTAGGGACCAGTAGAAACATTAATGTTGTGGTGACTAACTTAACCTTAAAATGAGTAAAAGGTCAAATAAAATCACAGTTGCGAACTGATTTCATTGACTAACTATCCTCATTCTAACTGCAAAGATCTTATCGCCATTCATTTGCTGGTACTTTTTATTTTATCTTCTTTGCTTCCAACTTTCTATTCACTTTACGCATGGTGTTTCAATTTATAGAGACTTGATCTGAAGAACATTTGGTTCTACAAGTGAGTTGGTTTATTTTGTACTTCAGTGGTGATTAGATTATCCCATCACCATCTGATTTAGTGATTTCAATAAAATATATTCAAATGAAAGTACACACTGCAATTTTAACTTTTTATTCGTACATCCCCATTCGTTTATAAAATGTTTTCGTGACTACATCAATGAATGTTTTTGCTAAATTATATAAGGGTAAAATAAATCACAACTGCTTCACTTATAAATATTCATAAATAAGAAAGCATCCAGTTTTTCGAAATTATGGATGAAAACAGAAATCCATAGAAGCAAGCAGGAATGACGAAGAATTTCATGCATGTGAAATTCCACCTCAGACTTACTGTCAACTAAGTGAATTAATAGTGTGGTGAGAGCGGGCTGCTAGCCAATTGGTAGACATTAATCTAGGCTAATTCAACAACCAATCACAGCAGACTTAAACGTGGGCAAATATGATTCGCAGATAAATGGCTCTACTTTCCGAGAAATATCGAAGACAACCAATTAGAAGACTGCCCTTTTCTGCTTGCATAAACCTTATTAATGTACATAAAATATATATAAATACGCGTTGATTTTCGTAATAAAACGATCTGTTGCCTGGCCCTTGTCTTCTGTTGTTACAATAGTATAGAATACTTAAAGGGGAATCTAAGTTATTTATTATTTAAACATCTCACGTGCAAAGGCTAAAGAACATGACGCTAGTGAAAAAAATACATAGCCTGATATGGTGAGTTTTACTATAATCTACCTTTTTGGTTAGACCTATCAACACCTGACATCTCCTCCAACTTTTCCTTCCATAACACAGTCATTTTTTGATAGAATAAAGGAATGTTTCAGTTGTCTTGAGAAAATCTAAATCTCATACAATTTGAAGTTTTGTCTCCGATTCTCAACATAAATTAAGACATAACTACTGGAAATTTCTAATTGAGTTCACTTTGAGAAAACCTCTTTATGATGCCAGTGTTATTAAGTGAAATGAACATAAAGTTGAAACAATTAGGTCACAAAATAACAAATCAAATCAATATCCCCAAAATGTAGGTTTAAAACGCAAAGAAAAGTTCCATTTAATTCAAACAAAATGATGACAGATGTAATTACTTTTAAAGTAGCATATTGGAAATACTTCACAATAAATATTCGTGAACCAATGCAATATCTTTGATCCTCTTTTTTGGATCACTGTTAAGTGAATTGAAGGCATTAGAACACAGTTGGATCTTCGAAATTTTTTATTTTCTTACTGATGTAGATAAATACCTATAATTTCAGATGGATATTCACATCGACACAAATGCTTCATGGCAAATCTTGCATAATTTTAAAAAATCTGTTTGATATATCACACAATCATACAGTCATTTTTTATTAACTGATTAAATTTTGAGAACGACTTATGAAATCAGCCATAGCATTTACCACAAAGATTGGATCCTGACTCTCACTGTTTAAGTCAACTTGTTTAGCTGAAGGCTTCCAGTCAAGCATCCACGCCATTTGGCACTCCGTCGTGTTACGTTCGCTCGTTCGTTCGTGCACGATCCCTAGCCAGTTAACCAATCATTTCGCACTCCGAAATATAATTCGTAATTTGGGCGGTCAATTCTGGTGTTTTACTTTGCCTTTGGTCTACGCGGAACTAATACTGTAGAGGTTGTGGGTATAAGATCTTGCGTTAGTATACTTCGTACTATCCGTGAACGTCAACACCCTTAGCCTCTAAGCTGGCGAGCCCTACTGTGAACTTCATCTTTGGTAAATACACAGACAAATCCGGTGAGTTTGTTCTATTTTCTTTTTGTTCCTGTACTGTTTTTAAACCATATTTATTTGGCCATAATTGATCATGCTGCTAAGGTCATGCGTATTCGATCAACTACCAAAACAATTCAGCTCGTGCCATCTCCGCCAGAAAACTTAGAATCACTGTATCAGATAGGTAGGTCTGATTTCAGTGAACATGGGTTAAATGACCAACGTTCACCATTCCTTGCAGTTATCCACACTGTGCCACGGGAATTCAGGGAGTGCGTAACTGTGCAGATGTCGAGCCCAGAGTTAAGTTACTCGTGTGAGTTGCTTGAAGCAGCCTTCTTGAGGAGAAACGTTCTCATGGATCGACGGTGTCTGGACGAATTATTTCGCAACGCCGAGTTAGGTGGTCAGTCAGCTTTGAGCATGCTAACAAGAATTACGGAGGTTATTGGCCAACCTTAGTTTGATGAAAGAATTTTCAGAGAACTTTTCTTATCCAAACTACCACACTCACTACAGTCTGTGCTGGTTACACTTAAGGGTGTTCTTATGGATGGCTTAGCTGTTTCTGCGGACAAAATTCTAGAAATAACTAAACGGTCAGTTCCTGAAATATGCTCGGTGGCCAAACAGACTTCGAGTAAGGGTACTGCAGTGATAGAGTTATGCAACTCCATTCAGCAGATGCTTATGTCAAACATGCCTTGTGATTACTCCTACCGTCGTCATAAATCCCCTCAACTGCGAAACTCACGTGATCGATCTAAGTCCAAGCCACGTTCACCGAAAAACCCTCTCTGGTGCTAGTACCACAACACCTATGGCCAACAAGCGAAATGTTGCCGTAAACCTTGTAATTTCAGGATTGTCTCAAAGTCTGTGGGAAATTATCCCGCCGCCACGCGTTAGCGGCGACCGTCGCCGGTGGCACTAGCCTCCTTCTTTACATCCATGATGTGATCAGCCAGACTCCACCTTTAGTCGACACAGACACCGAAGTCAGCGTCCTTCCTGCTACATCAGCAGGTCAACAGAAGGATCCTACCCTCAACCTACAGGCTGCAAATGGAAAACCAGTCGCAACCTTTGGTAGGAAATACGTCTTTCTGAACATAGGTTTACGCAAACCTATTCAGTGGATTTTCCCTCTCGCTGACGTCATAATGCCCATCATTGGCACGGACCTCCTTAATCATCATGATTTACTCGTAGACCAAAACGACTGATCGACAAAACTACTACTTCATCAAGTTAAGTCATCATCTACATAGACCCCAGCTCATCATACGTTAAAATGAACGCAATCCTCGATCCAGCTCTTCGACCGATTGTTGATAAATATCCGGAACTTAACACCCCATCTAACGATCTCCGGTGCATAAACAATGTAATGCACCACATCATAACCTCAGGACAGCCCGTGACATCTGAAGCACGACGACTTCCTCCTGACAAACTGAAAATCGCTAGAAATGAATTCGGCAATATACTCACCACTGGCATCATTCGACCATCGGATAGCCCATGGGCATTTCCACAGCATATGGTCACACAATTGACTGCAAGGGCACTCGCCCACTGGGTGTTAAAGTTGAGGCGATACTGAACTTTCCGGAGCCACAGACAGTGAAAAGTCTTCGCACTTTTAACAGCTTGGTAAGTTATTAACGACGCTTTATTCCCAACTGTGCCTCTCTGATTCAGCAATTGACAGGCCTTCTTCGAAGAAATAACAAGTCCATCGAACGTGACGCGTCTGCCCGAAATTCGTTTACTCAGGTTAGAAAAGCTATTGCGGATGTCACACTTCTGATG